GGGGGGGGGGGGGGGTAGTTGAACCCCTAACTACCCTCTGCGTTCGCATCTGCATAGTAATATATTTATTATATATACTAATAAGCATTTGTTCAGACACTGGGAAGTCAACTCTTCTTTTCCCCATCAAATGTTATACATTATGATAGTTATTTTAACAATTAAACAAATTAAAAAATATTAAAATACTACAATATATTATTTGTTTTAAAAAGCCAAACGAATAAAATAAACACATAGAAGAAATCCTCAGCATAAAGTTCTATAAAATGCCTTTCTCTAGATAATTAATAAAATAATATATACCTATGTATTAAAATGTAATCAATGACGAGCTAACATTTTACGATATTGCGCATCTTTAGAATAGTAATAACAGTTAATTAATTATTTATAATGCATAATTACTCATAGCAATTTTCCAAATCTGACTCGTGACAACGTAAATTACAGCAGCGAAAATATAAAAACAACAAAGTATAATAACAATGACCATATCGCTAATGTTCATCTTGTAGCTGAACAATGAAACAGAAACTACAGTACCTAAAATCATATTAATGGTTTACACAGTTAAATAAACAAAAAACGTATTCTTACATCAACAATAAGACTTAAGTAAGTGTCTGATTTTTACTATATGTTACTTTATTATAAAACAATTATTTATAAATGTTTATTATAAATATAAATCATTTAATAAAATAATAATATTTTTCAATTTTTCCACATGTTTAAATAAGTTTATATTATATTATAATCATATATCATACGATTGCATAGTAAGAAATATTATAAAATTAATTACAAATATAAATGTATTCTATAGTACATTAAACTTGGCATTTATTTTTAATGATAATATTAAATATTCAATAAAACAATTATAAAATACCTAAAAAACTTCACTTACCCTAATTAATAAGCTGTTATATACGGAAAATTACATCTATAAAAGTGAGTTTTTCAAAATCATAAACAATTTGGATAAATATCTAATTAAATATAATAAATATAGTATAGTCAATGGACTAAATGTACACAATATTAAAATTATAAATAATGTCTACATTATTTTTTTTCCATAGTTATTTACTAAATTAAAATAAATATTTACCAATAAATAACACCACCATTTTGAATAAATTAAAATGAACGTAGCCTTCATCGTACCAGGTAAACGAATGTTTAATGTGCCGCATGATCAATGAATATTCGCCTGAAATCGGTATTGAATAATAACTTTATGTTAAAACTGGCATAATAGTCCGGATCCTTTAAAATTAATATTTGGCTTATATATTAAATTATGGACAACCATAAAAAAATATGTATTTAAAAACTATTATTCAGTTTAGTAAAAACAACTACATAGTTTAGTAAAAATCACACACAATACATAATAAAACTCACTATATTATACTATCATTTTTATAATAAATGCGCTGGCACAAAGTCTTATTAAAATGATTATTCAGAATATTTGTGAAAAAAAAATTTTACTACATCAAATTTTAGCTTTCAAATTAAACACTCAAAATTACATGGAATTCATTGTATAGCTTACAAAACAATAATTTCACATATTCACTTATATTCATATATCATTCATATTATTTGATCACATATTTATGTAAAAGATTTTGAAAATAAATATTTTATTAAAAAAAAAAAAAAAACAATTTTAACTTTAATATTGTATGGTTTAACGGTTACGTTCATATAATTTAACCCTTAAACTAAATAACATCATAATATATAAGAGTATAACTTACATCCTATTCTTGCTACAAATATGGATTGACATAATACCAATATCGCTAATACAACTCTACGAATTTTCGATTTGTTTTTAAGTATGCTGGTGAAACTTTTGAGTAAATACTTTGGTCTTAGCCATTCATAGTTTTTTTTATATAAGTCAGAAGTATCCTTAACATGACAATAGCCGACAAAGGCAGCAATTAAATTTAACAATATCGGCACTATAAAATATCCATATCCATAATAATTGACCGTCATTTTAATCAATGCAACTAGACCTGCTCCAATTAATGAACTAATGGTGTAAGTTGCAACTATTGTTCCAAGTTTCAATGTTCTTAATTTAATCGATGAATTTTCCGAAACATATGATATCACGCCAATCCAAAACATATTTCGACCCACGTACAGCCCCGGGATTACCGATCTGAAGATTAAATCTATATATGAAGGCCAGTACCAAAACATTTTAATAAAATATAAACTGTCTGATAAAATCTGTCCAAGAATTGGTAATAGAATCAATGGTTTACGTCGTCGGCCATGACTGTCACTCCATGCACCTGAAAACAATTTAATTTGCAGTAAAAATATTTTTAAATTATCATTTAGTATATTTTTTAAATAAATAAATGATTACATGTTAAGTGATAAGCGCAATAAAGTTTTCAAATAATTAAAATTATATTTTTTTGTAGTACAAACGGTTATGATATTATATAACGATTAAACAAAAACTGTATTTAATTAAATACTTAAGTGTTTTACTGGTGATTCCTCGGATTCTCGGAATTGGAATTTTCTTTATATATAATAATTTTCAAAATATATTGCTTATTTTG